AAGACCAACAGGTTATTGACTTTTACTAGTTTTTCTCTTCCTATCGAATGTATATTAATTAACCCAAAATTAAATCAAGTATTACTCATCTAGAGCTCGTGAGAGACTGAATTACTAAAGTCTGTAATGGGCATGAATCCCAATATATAAAGTCATATTTGAGAAACATATCTGTTTTTGCATTATTTGTAGTTTAACCTTATTTTCTTTCAACCACGTATTGTATCATAATAAGAGAAATTTTTTCTAGCCAATTTTGTATACATTTTAGAGGAGAATGTATTTTACCATGACTTGGGGCATAGGTCTCAATACTATTTTCAATTTTATGGAAAAAGTTAAAACAAAATTTCATAGTAATAATAGTAAAATAATAATAGTTAACACGTTACACATTGTTATCTTTAAAGTACTTGTTCAAGGTACAAAATATGGACATAAAAGTTTCTCCAATCTATATTAGTATAAACTTCACTTTTTAATGAACTAGGACACTAATAGTATAACTGACTTACATTTTTCTCTTCTCCCTACTGTCCTTTCCCCTTCATGTATCCTAATTCTTTAATTTTTGAAGAATTTCTTCCCATTTCACAATATCTGATTTACATTTTAGACCTACTCTATGAGCTTCTGAAACCACGGAGACAACATGATGTTTACACATGAGTCTGATTTAATTCATTTATGAGTGTGGCCTCAAGTTTCACCCATTTACCTATATAAATCTCAAGCTTGCCCTCCTTTATGACTGAGTAGTATTCCATTGTATACAAATATCATATACTTTTTAGCAGTTCCTCAGCTGATGAGGGTCTGAGCTGTTTCAAAGATTACATGACTACACATACATCATGTAGTATGATGTTTTTAATTCTGCTGGAAAGATTCCCAGAAGGGGAACAGCTGAATAGATTAGGAACTCTAATTTTAGTATTTTGAGGAATCTCCACACTGATTTCCACAGTGATTGTACCAGTCTACTCTCCCACCAACAGTGGAGAAGGATTACTCTTTGCCCATCACCCCTCTAGCACTTATTATCAGTTGATTTCTTGTTGATAGCCATTCTTTCTGGGAATGAGGTGGAATATCACTGTTGTTTTAATCTGTAACTCTCAAATGACCAATAATATTGAACATATTTTCATATATTTATTTGTCATTTGTATTTCACCTGAGAAATGTCTGTTTGTGTCAGATGCCCATTTAAGAACTGAGTCTTTCAATCTGGGTGCCTGATTATTTTTTCAATTCTTTATATGTTCTATGCAGATGTTCTTTGTCTGAGGAACGATGGGTTGAAGCTTTTCCTATTCTGTGGGTTTTCTTTTCACTCTGTTGGTGATTTCTTTTCATGTTCAAAAGCTTTTTAATAAGTTGAGAAACCAGTTGTCTATTCTTTGAAGCGTTTCTTATGCATTCTGAGTTTTGTTCATGAAGTCTCTGTCTATACCTATGTCTTCAAGATTTTTACCTCCTTTTCTCCCAGTAGATAGCATGCAATATGTTCATAAGCATGTTTACCTGAAACCACATTCGTTCCTGTTTTCTTGACACTTTCAAACCTAATAGGTCTCTCTACTTCTTGTTTCCTGCCATTAAAGAATAAAGAGGTGTTTCTCAAGGCCATGGAAATATTGTGTCTCTCTGTGACTCTGAAACATGAGGAGGCAGACAGAACCCTCTGGTCTTCACTATCCAAACTTTCAGGATTTCCTGTGTAAGGATCCAAAAGTCACTCATTCTCCGATGCATCTTCTCCTTGGTCCAAGAAAACTTTACTTTATGTTTTGTAGGGGGAAAAAAGGTGCTGAAGGACATGGAAAGAATTTCCTTTCTCAAAGATATTTCCTAAAATATGCTTTCTCTTTTAGTAATTGTAGTTCTATTAATAGTTTGGTCTGGAATACAGTAAAATGGGCTTTTGCCTTGCTTTTCCCTGTCCCCTCCCTTCCAGTCTTCCTATCCTTTCCTCCCTCTGTCCCTTCCTCCTCTTCCTCCTCCTCATTTCTCTATCTCTATATTATCCACCAATCTATCTACCAATCACTAGGCATACTATTAACTATTCTAATAACCACAGATCACAAGCAACATGCTATAATGTTGGGCTGCTGATCTTGTATCTGTTACAATCCCTGTGGTGACTGTGTGTTCCACTGCTCAGTGCTGGTAGATAAGGTGCCTGAAATTCTGACTGCTGTCATTATCACTTAGCCGCACCTTATAAATATAGAGTGACAATGACTAGTCGTGTACTTGGAGTTATTTTGGTGCAATTTGATTGGTTTTTGCAATATTCATAAACTATCTTTAAGATATTCTGCAATTTAGTAATGTAAAAGTTTTATTTAATTTGAGGGATTTCCTATGTTTAAAAATTACATCTATTTTTCTGTTTGCTTCTTTTATTTTACATGTACAGATTGTGCACATTTATGGAATATAATGCATTAATTACATACAAGATACAGTGTATAATGATCCAATCTAGGTAATTAACATTTTCTTATCTTTAAGCATTTAATCTTTGCACTGGGAAGATTCAGAATACTTTCTTTTAATTCTTAATAAAATGTATAATAAATCGTGAACGATAGTCACCTTCCTGTGCTGTTAAACAGTGAATTTATTCCTCCCATTTAACTATATTTTGCTTTATGTTTTGCAGCCTATCCCCACACCACCCCTTTCTGTTTCAAGCTTCCACTTCTATAAAATAAACCCTCTGTGTATGAATGAGAATATATTGTATTTGAGTTTTTTTTTTGTGCCAGCCTTCTTTCATTTATAAAGTTTGTTTTGCACTTTGATTCAATGAATATTCAAATAATAATTACATATTATCTCATTTAGTGTTTGCTTCATCCTGTTTCAGTTTGCAAGTGTAATTTCTCTAATACTTTGAAATGAACTTAGAATAATAATCTGTCTCACAGTTTGCTGTGAGGAACCGATTTAGAGCTGTGTATGTATCGGATGGAAACAGTAGAACCTATGAATTCTGACACTTTTTCTGCTAAAGCAGTGAGGCAATTCCATCGATACTTGTTATATGTAGTACACCTGCTAAACACTTAGCTGCATACATGATTTAGTGTGATGGATTTTATTTTTGTTCATATCTTATCTATCCATATATGACCAGAACAAGAACCTTCTAATCCATGAACTGATGATTGTTTGACAATCTCATGACCCTGGAAAAACTGATTCTCCTCCAAGGCCAGCGATGACATTTTAGAATGTTATGAATATGCTGAAATATTGAAAAACAGTAGTAGTCATATGTATAAAAGACAATTACAGGGACAAATATTTCTTCATTAAAGTCACTTTTTGTTTCTGTAGTTCAAAAATATGCTATCAGTGACCCTCTGACCTTGTGCCTTTTGAGTAAAATGTGATATAAAACAATTAAGCTTTGCTAATATATCTCAGGATCTCTATATATTTTAACTGAATATGTAGAATTATTCCATTTACTTCAAAAAGTTTTTCATTTAGCTCCTCATGATGAGACATTTACAGTTAAGTATAATATTTATTTGATTAACATATTTGATTAACAGTATTTTCTTTCTTTAGTTGTTTTTCATGCTTACATTTTGGTGACATTAAATAAGTCTTTATTCTATTTTATTTTTTCCAAACTGTGATGCCTTTTGTATATTATCTTCACTGTATGTATTTCCAAGAGGTTTTTGAACATAAATCTTTACAATTTGATGCCAGCACGTCAGAAAACTCAGTAGAAATTTTGCAAGTCCTTTATTTAAAATTATGTTTAAAGTGCTGGCATAGAGCAACACTGTTGAAGAAGACCATGCAAGTCTTCCGTGTATTTTTCATGAAACCATAATGTGGGGAATTATTTCTGCTTTCTTTTGACTTTTTTAAAGCAAGATAAATTATATTGAACCATACATGGAATTGAGCTCTGCTTCTGAGTGCCAGTTCGAAGCTGAGTTTATATCTAAAAAAGTTATACAGTACTATGGAACAGTTTAAATATTTCTAATATGCATTGATTTCATACAATAGAGCTATCCTACTTTGACATAAAATATTTCTGAACATGTGAACTCACGTGTCAGTGTAATGCATGCAATCCCTCGCTTTTATTTATGAATATGTTATTTAGGCTCACAGGGAAATGTGAGCAGAAAAAAATGTACCTATATGAACTCTGATATTGTGCAGTTTCTGTTTTGGATGATGGAAAGAGCTACAAGACGGCATTTTTGTTGAATGGATGTTCATGTTTGTATTTTTTTAGCCCAAGAGATTACTGGGTGATTTTTATAACACAAACATTAGAATAATGACAGGTGTGTTTTGGTGGCTGTATTTGAGTTATTGTATGTGTACTTTTGTTTTAAAGCTGCATTTATAAGAATTCACTGCCTAGACCTTTCTGATTGAGGAGGGTGTGAAGGTAGCACGGGGCTGCATTAAAATTAGATAATTTTGTTATCCCTTTAAGAACAAAGCTCAGACCCACTACGTGGTTAAAAACTGGTGTGATCTATACTAGTCTCCTGTTTGTTTTCAGTTTGTAAGGATTAATAATTTCTCTTCAGAATAATCCAAAAGATAAGTAATCGACCATTTTCATCCTTAAAATGCAATGTAACATGTATAGTGGGAATGAAAAATAAAGAAGTTTATCATTTAAACAGAGATAATGTTTTGTTTTAAATTTTGAATTACTCTCGTGATCCCAATTTTAGAACATTAATCTGGGGAAGCATATAATTTGAATGTCTCCCTGCAGGTATAATTTTCCTCATATAGGACTACATGTTAATACCATTTAGTTAAAATTCAGCACCATCAGTCTTGCTGGAATTTGCATAGCACAGACCGATGTTGCTAAAGATCACTGATACTTCATTTGAACTGTTTTAGAGAATGACTGAATTGTAATGCATGCTGTGGAATTTCAGTTGTGTCATAATTAAATAGGTGAATGTTCTTGTGTTTATGTCTTTTAGCGTCTCCGTCAATTAAGCTCTTGGTGGATGATCCTATAGTTGTAAATCCTGGCGAGGCCATAACACTAGTGTGTGTTACAACAGGAGGAGAGCCTGCACCCTCTCTCACCTGGGTCAGGTCCTTTGGGACCCTCCCTGAAAAGACTGTTTTGAATGGAGGAACTTTGACCATCCCTGCCATCACCTCTGATGATGCTGGTACTTACAGCTGTCTTGCCAATAATAATGTGGGAAACCCTGCAAAAAAGTCCACTAACATCATTGTGAGAGGTAAGTTTGCCTTGGGAATGTTATAACATAGATTTCTCTGTTAGTGGAGTATAGAAAAGCAACTACTGTAATTTGTTATAAAACTGTTTCCTCCAATATTGCACATACATGTAACACACAGAGAAGGTTGTTTATAAATAATCGTATAGAGTCTAATTATAAGTGGAATATAAACATTTTACATACTAATGACAGAGTTTTTATATTCTACTTGAAAATAATTTTCATAACAAATTCTTAGTGACACATTGAGTAGATTTTATATTGTTCTTAGTCCAAATAAATGAATACAAAAATATAGCACAGAACTAAAACATTGTTACACATATTGTATATGAGTTTAGAATTTTAGTAAAAGTATTGACTCAGTATTTAATAAATGTTTATCGAGCTCCTAATAAAGTAAGACTTGGAACTGTGCAGTGATCTTTAAAACAATACTCCCTCCTCAAGGGTTCTGCTTTCAGGTAGTTAAAATACATTGATTAGATCTATGTCAGATAATTAGATTATATGGTTTTTAGCAAGCATGAAAAAGACATAGAATTTTAAAAAATGTATTTGTAGTAATTTCTGGCTCAGGCTATTTGGAAATAGCTCACGATATATGCACTAATTTGAGTAAGGTTTTGACATATGAATTTGGGGAAAAGATGGAAAAGTCATAAATAGAAAAAGGAAATCTTGTTTGAGGGACTGAAGTAAAATGTGGGATGCTTAGACTGCAGAAACAGTGATGTTGAACTGTGGAGGCTTTTGGGGGGTGTTTTGGTTCTGTGCATCAAGACATTTTTCCTTCCTTCTGGAGGATAGAAAGGAGAACCACGGGGGGAGCTGGGGTTTCTTGTTGCCTCCTCTCACCTAGCCTGGACTTTGGTTGGAGGGTGGAGGCAGATACTTATGTGAGGTGGTTAAAAGACATCCACAGGTCTGGAATAACCTTTCTATCATGCAAATGAAAATTATTCATGATGACAGATTGTGATGGAGGCAAAGCGTGACTGAGCATATCAAGATAACCTATGTGATTTGGGGGGATATAGATCATGATGATTTTAATGACTACAGTTATCTGCTACTATATATGCTATTAAAATATTCTACAGAAAGAAGTACTCGACTTAAAATATTGCAGGGTGAATCAAAACACTATGATTGGTGCAATCTGCCTCATAATTGTACAATATTCTGTAATTGCAAGATGTGTCATCATTTTATCTATCACTATGAAGTAAAGTGTACTGCCAAAGAAATTGCCAATGCTGTCTTATGAGGTAGTACATTACTGAATAATCTCTTTAAATTTGCTGTGGTTAGATTGTCTTTTAAAACTGTTTGGACTGCGTTAAAAGGTAAATAAATTTGAACTATTTACAAAACAAACAAATTTGAACTATTTACAAAATTCTCACTTAGAACTCAACTTTTGATCAATTTTCATCCCAAGGCCTTTGAGAACCATGTGCTATATGATATTATCCTTTGTGTTATGAGAAGTATGTATAATTCAGAGGTATAACTATAGTATTTCTTAGATTTTCTTCCAAGTAAGCTCACTGTTACTGAGATAAGCCAACTGGTTGCAGCTGTGAAGGATTGTTAGTGTAAGATGCATTTGATTTCAGAAATTTTTAAATGGAAAGAGAGATTTCTAGAAAGACTTTATAGTCAATGAAATGTGATCTTTTTTTTTCAATTGTCTTATAAACATCTACTAAATAACTACAGCGTATTAAGGATTCAGCAAATACAAGTAATGCAGGATGGTAATTACAAGATTAATGATGAATCCCTGTCCCCTACAGAGCTTATAGTTCAGCAAAGAAGATAGAAATATAATGAATAATATATGGAAAAACAATGAAAGATAGAATTCAAGAAGGAAAGTATTAAATTTCCTGCTTTAAGTATTAGTATTAATGAAATGAGACTACTTTTAGGTCTTACCTATCAATATCAATATCCTGTGTTTCTTCTGCCTCAAATTTTAAAGGTAAAAATGTATAGTCAGCAGTGTTTATTTTCCTTTTCTTTTCTTTGCTTTCTTGAAGAGCCATGACAAAATCTGCCAAATCTTTCTATCATGATTGTGATATTAGTTCAAGCATAACAACAGCTATCTACTAATGTCATGAGTATAATATTGAAACTTTTATTCATTATTTTATCAAGGAAGGGGACTCACTAGAGACTAATTGTATATTGTATCTAATTTATACAATGGAGTAATTTGCAGTATTGCATCTGTGTACAGCTGGCACAGTGCACAGCGAGTAATGTCTGGGTTGCTCAGGTGTATACCAAGAAGGACCAACTCAGGCTAGAGCAAACGTGCGTGCAGAGAAAGACTCACTCCTGGCTGCCCTAATTCCTCTCTTTAGCTATGTGCTTACAAAGGAAAGTTGCCAACCTTGACATAGTGATCTAAAATAAATAAATCCATAAAATTTATTTCTGTGATACATAATTTCTTTTCATGCCTTTAATTTTTCTGAAGTGTACATTTACATAATCATATTACTAGTGAGGTTCCTCATAATGGCATTCACACAATTCATCTGACCACTTTTGTGTATAATTTTCTTGAATACAGAAATAGCCTTAATAAAAGGGTCTCAGGTAAAGCTGAAGGGAGAGGAACTGCTGAATTAATGTGAAGCATCTGATTTTTGTGCACTGAGGGCAAGACCTTTAGTTCAGAGAATGTTTTTGTTTTATTGTATCAAAAAATATTTTCAAGTCTTCTGAATGTGTAGACATCTGCAGTGTCTTTCATTAACTGTATAATGCGTATAGTTGAAATAAAATGCCAGGACTGTTTCTACAAATTTTTCTGTGATCAAATCAGTATCCATAGACGACGTTTCTGAATAAGCAGAGAAAATTTAGCGCATAGAATTAGTATGCCAATTTAGAAATGTCTCCCACACAGAATTAGAGTGTAGGGTGCAGAGAGGAATAAAACTCTACAAGCATTTCCAAATTCTGTTTGAATTTTTAAAAATGCAAAGGAGGTTAAAATAAAAGATAGATAGATAGATAGATAGATAGATAGATAGATATTCCAGGTAGATAATAAACAGAAACTGAATATCATGATTTATAACTTTAGTAAAATATTTATAAATATAACAGCAATTCCTTTCATGGGATCCTTTATGCAGTTGTGTCACATTTTTCCTTAGGAGAGAAGCATTTGCTTATATATATATATATATATATATATATATATATATATATATATTTCTTCATCACATATTGGGTGGCTAAAACTCAGTGCTTTCCAAACTCCTATTTGATGTTCTCTGTTCGTTGATGTGATTTGTCTCTCAATTCTCCCAGTTTTATCTTCAATATGTACTTTGAATTTGTCCATTGAGTACAACGTTGGAATCATTGTACAAATCATCATTGTGTCTACTCAGGGAGATTAAAATAATCTTTTTATCAATATTCTGTCCACACTTAGGCTTGTTTTATATATTCATCCACTGTATTGGATGAAATATACTAAGTTGACTTAATATTTTAAAAATCATCAGAGAAATTTACTGCTATATTTTGAATATAGTTCTTGATCTTTAAGTTCTTGATCTTTGTGATAAAATCGTGGTCTTTTGTCCAAAAGGAAGTTGAAACAAGGGGAGGATCATTAGCTCAATGGGGCTATAAATTTGTTCTAAAGGAAATTTTATAAAATGAGCAACCTTATCCTCTCCTGTTCTGCCTACATTTTGATTGTAGGTGTGATTTTTCATTTGGACATGCTCTCCTATGAGATTTTCACCAGAACTGAGCTAATAGACACACCATACCCTTTAGCCTTCTTATTAGCTAAATACACTTTTTCTTTATAGCATTAACAGCTTTGGGTATTTTATTATAGTAATGAAATTCTGATTAATATAGAAAATCGGTACTTACTAGTGTGTTGCACTAAGCTATAACAATAACTATATCTGAAGATGGAAAGAACATTGAGACGGGTTTGTGGCAGAGTTGAAAAGACATGAAGGAGGGGCCTCGAGAAAGCATGGAAATATTGTCCACTGTCAGTGGAATATTGTGGACCATTTTGGTGAAGATAGAGAAGGTAATATTAGGCCCAAAGTCTCAGATGGAATTGAGGATGCTTTTACAAACTATGTAAAAGTTATACTATGGCAAAAAACCTATATGCATTTTTCCTAAGACTTTGTGTAAAGCCAAACATAAGAATTTTGGACTAATTTACATTTGGGAGGAAATTTCAAAGCAGCAGTTCATACAGACTTTTACAATTAGAATCAGGTGCAAAAGAGAGCAGAGCAGAAAGATTTGAGAAAGTCACAGCTTGTCCAGGGTAAAGCTGTAAGAATGATGAAAGGTCATAGCCATAGAGGGCAGCAAAAGCAACTGAAAATATGTTGTATTTTCTTCATTAAAGGCGTTGGAGTGTTTCCTAGTGAATAATAATGTGATAGGTGTGTGCGTGTGTGCGTGTGCGTGTGCGTGTGCGTGTGTGTGTGTGTGTGTGTGTGTGTGTGTGTGTGTGTCTCCATGCGATGACTCAGAATCTGAGCCAATCATTTATCTGCCATCCTCATCCTGGGGCTATAGAGTTTCTCTGAGTGTTGCCTCCGTTCCTGTCTGCTGGAACTAATAAGGGGCTTGAATGAACGCACCAAGGAGATTTTTGTTGACCTATTTGTGTTAGTTTCAGTCATATCTCAATTAATTGGAATTCAGATATATGGCTATGCCTAGTGATTTGTAGGCTGGGAAATACATTCTGTGTGCTGAGAAATAAGAGCACATGAATTTTTATCAGTCATTAGCCATTTCCATGTGAAATCATCTCATTCTCCCTGTCATATTCTTTTTCTTGAATTTCATTTCTTCCAGAGGGGAATTCTAATTCTTCCTCCTTGTTTTGTACACTTCCCCCTTATTTACTCTGCACACTTTGACTTCCACTTCTTCACGATGAAGACTTAAACATTCTTAGGTGGTTTTGTCTG